ACTACTCCTTCATCTACTAGTCGCGGTATAGCCCAGTGGATGTGCAAACTTGGAAGGGTGGTGGAGGGCCTCCGTAGATTTGGGCATTAGATGTTGACATTGACATTACTGAGCGAACATAGTGTTATTCACTGCGACATGAAGCCTGAAAATATTCTACTGAAGCAACCTGATCGAAGTAGCCTACGTATTATTGATTACTGCAGCTCATGTTATGCGAATGAAAAAGTGTACACCTATATTCAAAGTAGGTTTGGAGTATGTATTACGTATTGATATGTAGAGTACAGGTTGTATTCTAGCGGAATTATACACAGGATATCCTATTTTTCTTGAGGAATGAACAAGATCAACTAGCTTTTATCATTCAAACCTTGGATGTGTCTAAAAAAGACTACCTTAATCGATGCATACGACGAAAGTAGTCTTTGGTAAGTTGTTGGAAGTATATCAGATGGTTGTTTGATCATTCTTGGTTACGGATATTTACGATCATCCCCGTAAAGCCATCAATTCAAAAGGGAGAAAGTGAGAGCCCCATTCGCTTACTCTAGAAGACGCACTAAAACGATCCACATACGATCAAGTGGGTAAAGACTTTGTCGACTTCATTAGTCATTGCTTAACATGGGAACCATCGAAAAGAATGAAGCCTGCAGAAGCTCTCAACCATCCTTGGATTCAAGCCATGATAAAAAAAAAGATGTAATATGTATAATAGACGTTTGTTAAATACCCTCAATTTCCCTTCCTTCTTTGTCATGAATAAAAACTTGTTTTGAAAAAAATAAACAGCAATGTATTACATCAGTCAGAGGACCAAACGCTAAAGAGGATCAAAAAAAAATATGCAAGTTACATTCGTTAGCACTCTTCCTAAATTCTCTGAGTTAATCTTGAACATACATGGCACACGTTCTTATATTAATGGATAGATGCATCTTTTGTTTAGCTTCATACAAAGAATTGCCATATCCTCAACCTGCTCATGTCAATATTAAAAACTCACACTGTCTCTTCACGCAGTCAAAGAGCTTTCAATTAGTCTTAAACACCAAAAGAAAATCCATTGCCATTTCGTACTTTCAATCTCAAACTTTATTACTGCAAAGTAAATGTTCACAAAAAAGCAGATATTTTATTTATAAACTTCTTCTTAGTTCTCAAAATCGTAATGATCTTGATTAACAGGGCCAACCACGAGAAGGTGAGAAGCATCTGACCCCAAAAAATATGTGTGTGAAGGGCAACCCCTAAACACGCCTTAATGTTCAGATAGGCAACCCCAAATAAAACACAAGGCAATCCCCTAGTCCGACTGCGTAAAGGGCAACCCCTAAACTCCCCCCAGACCGTTGTAACATCCTTTGGTAAATAGTTCAAGAAAAGATATCACCATATGTCACTCTAGCAGTGCAAAGTTAAACCATGGAAACCTCGCTGGGCCAATGACGGTGCCTCAACCATTCCTAAAAACCAAAAAAATGATAACACTTGGAAAAAAGAAAAAAGAAAAAAAAGCGAAAAGGAAAAAAAAAAAAAAATTAAAACGAAAAAAAAACTGGGCGGAACCAATGAGATGCCACTACGAAAATTCCTCAAAAAAAGTACTCCTTAAAAAGTGCTCCTTAAAAATTACTCCTTAATAAAATACACAATCTTTTCAATAAACTAGGCAAGCATATAAACACCTTGACGCTCTTGCTACAACATCTTGAAGGGGGAGGGAATGGTTTGTAAATCAATTCTAAGCAAAGAATAAACGCGTAGATATAAATTGAAAAATTAATAAAACGCGGTGAACATGATTCAATCTTTGTCAAACTCTATTTTATTTGGCTATATTAAGAATAACGCAGACTTTAGGAATACAAGAGATTTTGAACAATGCCGTTGTACACCTTCTTTACATTTTTGTCATGTCAGGACCATTAGCTTTTAGCGTATTAGATGATTTCATCTTCATGTTGTTTGTCTATGCAGAAAACTGGAATGATATTATGTCTTTGACTTTAGTCTGTAAACAGTACCAGAACGTTGCACTAAAACAAAAGATTGATATTCCTTTTGAATTTACTTCTGATCTTGATTTGACTCGTTGTACAATCCCTTCTAAAATCGCTAGAGTCATTAAAGTGAAATGTGTTTCTGCAGCACAAGAAGCCTACTTCAGGAATGTCTCAAAATGTTTTGTTAGTTATCGTCTCATCATCATTGATTTCATTGAAGTTGATAGTTGGAAGCGTACAAAAAAGATTTGCAGAACCATCTTGAAGACAGGTAAAACATTGCGTGTTTTGAATACAAAAAGACCCAAAAAAATCACTGCCTACTTGACGAATGTCGAAGAAAAGTATCAGCAACAACACGTTTTATACACTGAAAACCAAGGACATCCACCACTTAAGCGCAGACATTCTGAAGAAGACTTCATTATGTTGAAAGTGCCTAGAAACACAAATCTTCGTCGCAACTTTTTGTTACAGCATTTGCTCACATTGTCTAGCCCAACCTTTGAGAATAGTGTAGAACCTTTATTTAGTCGTATCAGCCAAGTTACTTCCTACAAAGAAGCCTATACCCATTCAATGTTTTTTACTTGTGGTGTCGAAGAAGCAATGGTACACGTTAAGCAGTTTGTCAATTGTATTGTTCAGTTTGATACGTTTTCTTTGCTTGTCACAAGCTTCGATATTTTCTACCACAACCATAAGTATGAAGACGATTGTGCTCAGTCCTTGGACCGCATCTTCCAAGCCCCTACTGCAAAGATATCCAGGAAAACGAACACCAACAAGAAATTTATGGAAATTTCGGTCTTTGTTGGCCACTATGAATTGCTGGTCGTGGGAGGTTATTTTAACATACATGGGTCGATCCTACCATTTCTTGGCTCGTCAATGGGCAAATTTAATTTCCAGGAAGCAATATCTACTACCATCCATATACCTGACTTAAGCTCACCATTCGTTCGTACGAGTCGTTTATTGAACCAGTACGTTAAACGAAAATCGCATGAGTTATGGAGCCTTCACTGCCAATATGCTTACAACAAAGGGTTCTACCCTATTTCGGCAATCAGCTTTACCAACCACTATAGCCAGGTGCACAAATGCAGCAACAGCCAACATTTTCTGTCACAAGTTCTGCGTTTAATATCCTCAACGATGGTAATTAAACCTGCCGAATTAGATTCACTTTGGGCTCTCCTTCTTCGTCTTCCGTCATACAAAAAGATGGTTGAAACTGCTAGCACCATACCAACTAATTTCGTTGAGCTCTCTGCCCACTTGAACAACTTGAACGATGACAGCTCGTTTGGGTCAATACTTCACGTTCTTTCTGCAGTACAATCCAAAGCCCCGTGTTTCTTCTTGAGCCTGTATTCAGAATCAAAAGCCAAAGAAATTGCTTTAGGAATTATGACAGGCGGCTTAAAAAGGAATATAACTGATCAACATGATGCTATTATGGAGAATATAAAGAAAAATATTTAAGATATTAAATTAATGAACAGCATTGACTTTTATCTTTTGTAATTTAAAGACTCTATTCATAACAGAATAGTCGTGGAGGATGCCATCTTTAAAAAGCATTAGTTTTTTTAAAAAAATCGTCTACGGGTTAATTTTCAATCACAGTGTATATAATTTATTTGTGCCCGAGAAATAGTAGTGGTATTAGCAGTAGCGCTAGCGACGTTATTATTAGTTGTAATGGCGGTGGCGGTTGTCTGGAGCATACATATTGTTGATATCCTCAAAACTTCAAAGATGATCCTCATAATCATCCTCATCATCCTCGTCAGCACCTTGTGCGTCTCCTTCCAACTCCTCGTTCTCCTCGTTCCAGATGACTTCAGTTATCCAACCTTTGATGGGTGTCTTCTTCTTGGCACTGTTGCCGCTGAGTATTATTGCCATAGCATCGGAATCGTTCATTTGATGTGATTCATGCACGTGTCTAAGCTCGATCAGTAAGAACTATAGAAGAAAAAATGCCATTACACAAATCGAAAGACGCAATAACTGAATCTTACTTCAATGCACGATAAACCATTGATAGTATTCGAAAGACCAAGTTTCAATGAGCCATAGTTGGTTGGGAATGAGAAGGAAATATGGCCTTGTAAGATGTATAATCCTTGATTTGCCAATCGTAAAGTGTACATTCGAACATCAAACTCCATGATCTGTACCATAGGAAACATCACATTCTTGATGTCTTTGCCTGGTATGAAGGGAATCGTTTCAAGGAAATAGTTCATATAGTATTTTGAACTAAGTATAGACTTCAATTTGTCCACGAACAATTTCCTAGAAATGGCCTTCTTCGCAACTTCAGCTGTTGCACCATCAACAGTATTAGTGACCGAAATATGGAACAAAATGCTTCCAAAGCCATCCTTTATGTTCAGAGTGGACAGACATTATGTCCTGGCTATTTAATTCCCCCTGAATCAGAAAGAGCGAATCTTCTCATTGACGCTCATCATAAAGTTGGTCACTATGGTGCAGAACAAATGGTAAAACGATTGCATTCAGAAGGCATTCACTGGCCCAACTTAATCTCGGATGCTGTTCAATTTATCAGAAAATGTCACGAATGTCAACGACATAACATTCAGAAAAAAGGTTATCACCCTTTAAGACCCATCTACAGCTATTGTCCTAGCGATCATTATGCTATTGATCTTAGTGGTCCTATAACAACCATGAAAGGCTCACACGTAAATTACTTCATGGTGATAATTGATGTATGCACAAGATTTTGTATCATCAAAGGACTTCCTGATAAGCAAAGTATATCTATTGTATCAGCACTAATTGACGTTTTTTCCATACTGGGATATCCGACTAAATTGCAATCTGATAATGGTCGAGAATTTTCTAATTCCCTTATGAAAGAATTGGCTGATGCGATGGATATTGATCATCGTTTCATTACTCCTTTGCATCTTTCTGCAAACGGTCTAAGTGAGCGCTATGTTCAATCTGTAAAAAAGCTACTTGCTAAAGTCACTAACGGGACAGGCGTAAACTGGCACATGTATCTACCGGCTGTTCAACTAGCTTTGAATAACCAGATTAGTAAACGTCTAAACTCTACTCCCTTTTCCCTCATGTTCGCTCGTCGGATGAATGATCCTCATGGTTTTCGTTCTTCTAAAGATGAATCTAAAAATGATAAAAACAAACCACCCATGTCGCATGAAGAATTACTAAAGCGCATTGATTACCTGGCCGATGTTGTATTTCCTGCAATTGAAGCCAAGACCAAAGAACAAATGGAAATTGAGAAAGCTAAATTTGACAATACACATCGTTTAGCTGAATATACACCTGGTAGTCGTGTCATTGTTCGTATTAAAGAAAAAGCTGGTCAACTTGACGCTGTTTATGAAGATCCATATACAGTTGTTCATTCTATAACAAAAACCACTCCAGCTGGCACGATTTCCAAACTCATCCGCTCAATATCAGACATTTCCTTGTCAACTGATGTTGAAGCTTCAGTACCAAAGCAGTCGAGAAGAGCCACTCAATTGAAAATGTTAAACAACATGTCAACTGGAGTAGAAGCACTCAGATATTTGAAAGATTTTATTACAAACCAACACCAACACTCACTCTGGACTCATAAATCACCAATTCAATTTTTTCTGCGGAGAACCTTACCACGTTGGAAGCCGAGCGGAGGCAACTGAGATTGTTCTAGGAACGACTAACGATCAAAATGTTGCCGAATCGAAGGTTGAAAATGTGGTAAATGCCCATCCTACATCTTGGTTTTCCAATCTTCGAAACTTACTCTAGTTAAATACATCACCCCTAAAAAAATTGAATATTATTATGATTAGCTACTTTGAAAGATATAAGAGAAAAAGAGGTTTGAAGGTTTATTATGATTATATATATGAAAATAAAGCACGGCTCTGGGAGCATTCACCACATTTTCAGCCTTTGCTTCGGCAACATTTTGGTTTAAACATGTTTACACTATTTCCAGAAAGAGATGTCGCACTGACTTGTCGTTTTTTCGTATAAATTGTATTATAAAAACTGCAAAAATGCGACTTTACTTTCTCAAAAGACTGTATAAAGAAGAAAAGCGGTTAGAAATGTTTATTAGTAAATTATTAACAGATTTGGCTGCTTCTATTTACACAATACAAAAGCCTTCTCATTTTGATTATATTTCAGAATTTAGGCGGGGATCCAAAAAAATATGTCGTTAAAAAGAAATGCACCATGTTCATAATCTGACGACGGGTTGTCCAGATGCATACAAGTTCGAAAGAAAAGAAGATAAAAAAAGTTTTTATACAACAACCAAGATCACTTCAAGTATAACTATGATGATACATCATAAATTCGTATACTACATCAAATAATTTTGAGCCGATAAAGTAATATAAATTTTAATAAAAAAATAAAAGAATCTTTCAAAAGAAGAACAAATTATCTAACTTATATTGCGAGTGAAAGTGGGAGTGGGAGTGGGCAGCACGTTGGAGCGATGGAACAAATTTTCTCGACCATCGGATTTAAACAACGATTTTTTTTTCAATGATTTCATCTTCGCATTTCCAATACATGCACTTGATTATCATGCACAATAGTCTCTATGATGATTTTTTTTAGAGTGGGCTGCTCACTGAAACCAAATTTAGTTCATTGTCTTGTTTAGAAAATAATATGTCACATACCGAATAAATAATTCCAAATCGCTCATGTTAGTGATCAAGCCCGCCGAATCAATAACCACTAAACGCGCTTTATCCACCTTTGCTAAATCGTTTATCAAGTCTACAAGTAAAAAATCAGTATTAAGTGCAAAATTACATACTATAATATTTTATATAAGATATTGGATACCTTGAACGTCACTAGTCACTCCTGATAACTCATTCATTATCATACTCTTCTTTAAATCTCTTCTACGTATAGGTGTTCGAGAATTGCAGCTGACACTGACGAAGATATGTTCCGCTGATGATCTCTTTTGCAAGCCAACAATCATCGATTGAAGAGATTTTACTATGGCTTTTTGATCGTAAGCTGTCTTGGACTTGGGACAATACCCAAAGACAGTATACCTTTCTTGCTTTAGTCCCGTAATATACTCTTGGTATCTTTCAGGTAGTTTGATAATATCTTCCAATAAAATGTCTACGATGCGATGATTCTTAATACTGTAATAATAATAATAATAATAATAATAAACAGTTTACTTACCTTTATAGCTATTTTTTAATACATATAACCCTCGCAGTGATGATCTTGTCCCTGAAGCTTCATGTTTTCTCTTCACCTCTTGAGGTATTGGTTGTTGTTGTTGTTAGTGCTCGGTAATGGTAGAATAAAAGCAAAGAAGTGATGAGTCTCTGTTTTATCCTTTTATTAGAAGTGAGAGGAGGAGCTCATAGCAAAAAGAAATTAGGTTGTTTTAAAAGTGGTCGGAGTACTAAGGTACATGTAATTAAGTCAAATATAATCTCACACGTAAAGATTAGTATTAGACATGGTCAAATACGACACCTCTGATCCCAAAAACTCCAACCTCTGTGAGGAACACCAATTAACGAATTTGCTTATAGGTTCGTCTCGAAAAACCAAACTGTATTTTCACACCTCTGATATGATATTATTGATTGATAAATATCTATGTTCATATGCTTCGGATTTAGGGTCTGTTGATAAATACGTAGTGTTAATAAACTGTTTTAGCTGGTGTGTAGATGCTATGGAAATGATAAAGTCAGTCATTCAGCCATTGGGGATGAAAAATATTTCATTGTGAACAAGTACCAATCTCTAGCTTATTTTCTGTATTGACAACTTTATCTACTTCTTTATCTGTTTCTTTATTATTTTCAATTGTTTCTTTTGAAGATTTATGCAAGTGAATATCAAATCGATTCGCGTAAATGACTCTTGTGCACAAAAGCCTTGGTTTCTTGGGATTCCTTGTAAAGCATATTTCAACATCTTCCATTACCTCGATCATCTTGGTGTATTTAATTACATTCTCCTGGTTGTATGGCACAGCATAAAATAAGCATATCGCCTCTTCACGAGAGATAATAGCCATGATTAATTTGTTTTTTAAGAAAAGAGAAAAAAAATGGGTTTTGCTATTTGCACAGCGCGTTTTAACAACATTTCCATAACCATCTTGTTTCTACACAGTTCTTCCCAATAAAGAAATTTATCACCTTCGCAGTCAGCTAATAGCTCATATAATAACAACTACTCACAACTCAAACGAGAATGGGTTAGTGTAGTCTGAGGAAGCACCAAAACGTTCAGCGATGCTGAGTCGTCTACCTTTACCTCAAACGACTCTACCACTCCTGAAGATGTTTTCATGATCATGATCGCTTGAGATCGCAAATTTTTAAGCCTTTCTTTAAAGGTTCCGCTCTTGGCACTGTCTTTGTTGATACCTCCTCCGTCGAGGATAAAAAGCTTTTCGTTAAAGAACTTAATGAAGCGTACTATTACAATTCTCGTCTACGGGGTATCGAGGATCGTTTCCATCGTGATTACAGCCGCTTATACACTATTTCCAGAAAGAGACGTCGCTTTTTCGTACAGGTTGTATTATAAAGACTGCAAAAACGCAACTTTACTTTCTGAAAAGGCTGTATGTTGAAATTACGAAGAAAATCTGTGATGAAGGCTTCGAACTCCCCTTCCCTACCGTTTTGTTGGACATCAGTCATTGTCAGCTGATCCTGAAATCTTAATCATCACCATTGACGGTCTCCCTCGTTAATATGGTCGAAGGAATGATAGCTCAGAACAACTTCAAGCGGACATGCTGCATAACCTTTCTATTTACAATGTAATACGTGACAGCGGTATCCTCTCTGGCCGCGGCTACGTCATTTTAGAGCTCAAGAAGCCCTTTGTCATCTCCTTGACTCACAAGGTTCATTGACAGTACTCTTCTGTCGTTACTTTCACTGTTGATCCTTCTCAACGTGGCTCTGAAGCGTTTGTGTATGCTCATTGGTGCTCCATACCCCCTTATTGCCGATATTGTCACAGCCTATCTCACGTAGTTACTGACTGCCTTGTCAAATTGCGTCCTACCACCTGTCATCACTGCAATGAGATCGGACATATGCCTAGACTGGGTTATCTTCTTTTCATTTACCGCGCGAAGGATTAACTAACATGGACGTGTATCTTTTTATATACGAAAGCAGTAATTATTTATATTTAAGATAGAGGATTCTTATATTACATGGCTTATTAATGAAAGTGTTCAAATGGTCTTATTTTATATGAACTTATTATATTTCATGTTGATCGTTGTTAATTATTTCAATGTCAGTTAGAATCAGATATTGTTCTACTACAAAAGTAACCTCGTTGTTGCTGAAGATCTTTCACCCAAAGTTTGATGGATTCTTCCTGCTCATTGTGTTATTTATATGATAATTCTTGGACCTTTTTATATATGTTGTACATATCCTGTGAGCGGACAAACTGATTGCAGTGTATAACATATACTGAAGAGGATGACGAACTAACATCTTCAGGGAAAAAATCCCTTAACCTTTCATTAAAATGACGTTGAATTGCAGCTCTTATGACTCTTCTACCATAGCCTTCATGTAACTTTTATAATATGGCTTCCTTCGTATTATCTGATAAAGGCAAAAAAGAGATATCATCAAGATTATTATGCTCATTATGAAGCTTAATAGTGACCTGATTAGGTGCTAGAAAATAACAGATGACAGTAACATAGCATCTGCAATCGATCATTTTGCTTGGTTTCTGAATTGGCCGGCTTTTAGATGATTTATCTTCTGTCTGTACGCCAGTACGACTCTTATAGGTCCCAGTTCTATGGCATATGCACTTAATTTTCCAAACGATGCTTCTTCTTGTTACGCGCTTTGGCATAGGTTGGCCTTTTTCGTTTAAAGTAGACATATCACCATTCGTCTTGACCTTATATATCCAACATGCTGCATGATAGGAAGGTAATTTTTCAATGGTATCCTTCCAAGAGTCAATATTAACAATAGTTTCTCTAGGAAAGGGTGTGTATTTTTCTAAAACTAAGCTCTCAGACATGATTACTATTCTTTAATAAAAGGAGAATAAGTGGGCGAAAAAGCTAAAGAAGGCCATTTCAAAGGATTTAAAGTTCAGAAAAGGGGCAAAATAAGGGCGCTTGCGGTGTTCACCAAAAAAAAAAAAGAGACCAGGTGAAATGCTGAAATGAAAAAAAAAAAAACCAGTGTTGAATACGAAGTATCAATTAAAAGAATAAAGACTAGAATTAACCAGATTAAAAGATGTATGTCGATTGGCTTTATTAAAGACAAGTATTTATACTAAATGTGAGACACTCTTCAACTGAGATCGTAAAACTTTTCATACAGGCTTATGAATGACAATTGAGGCAATGAGAGAGTTAGGACGAATCGGGTGTCTTAGATAAGACAATGATCCCTAATAACAATGATGGATTAGAGTTATTAGATATGCGCACCTTAAAATGCAGTTCCTGGTAATTAGCTCAAGTAATGATCCGCAAAGTTGTTTCAACGTAACAAGCTGAAGTCGAATAATTGCCAGTTATTGTTTCAAATGTGTTTAATAGTTGATCCACTAAGTATGAATACAACAACCAGCTTTATTAGTTCTTCTTTCGACTCTTGGATGCTGAATGATCCTCTTGATTCTCTCCTCTTGCGCTTCTTCTGGGACTTTAGGAGAAGAAGGGCTAGAATCAGGCAACTAAAAACAAGATATAAATTAGTTAACAAAGTTATGCTATTTTCTTTTACTTTCTTTTTACCCTGGCAAGTATCATCTTGAGGATGTCTTGAACACTACTCATCTGTTTTCCAGTAGAATATAGTTATAGAGATGTTAAGTTAAAATAAAAAAGCTACCAAGTTTATAGATGTAGAATGTGATACAGCATGCCAAAATATCGTTGACATATGAAACAATGAATAGGCTCAACTGTCCTGGACCTTGACATGATGCTGAAATAGCCTATCTTCTCTTTGAAGATATGTTGAGATACGTTGAAGTCCCTTTCAGGTTATTGGCTGATTCTAATTTTACTTGCCGTGGAGAGTTCTCTTCAAAGATGCTGATTGTACCAAAATCAAATAGCTCAGGTACAATGTTCAACGACTCTGATATAAGAACAAGACATGCTTGTAACACACCATATTGATCAAGGATGGCTTCTCAACATCATCTGATATTGCATAACTTTAGGACCAGAACCATGGGTATAGGTCAGATTAAATCTGTTTATTACAACCGATGGAGAGACAGAACAGGCTTAGATTTGAACCTCTTCTAAGCTTAATGAATAAATATTTCCGGAACGCATTTTGGAAATAATAAGTAATTAATGCAATGATCAACCTTTTTAGCTTAGATCTTGTATATGCAGTAGAACGTCGAATAATGCAAGCATTATCTGCTGTAGGTCTTAATATTCTTTCAGTAGATGAAATAAGGTCATAGCTACTACCGAACAAAAAGTGCAGCCCTGACCTCGATTGGTAGAGTGGACAGGAAAAATAAAGAAATGCACCATAAAAGACTGCTACATAATCTACTCCGCTGTTCATTTTATTTAAAGGGAAATACTCTGACTATTTCCTTAAAGCATCGTCAAATGAAATGATTTTTATAAAATTACCATAATCGCAGGCAAAACCATATCCATCTGTAGTAACTATATTTTGCACAGTAGTAAATGGCAGCAAATCAGATGCATCCTCCTCTTCAAAGCTACGACCCTGAAGAGATGCATTTTTATGATTCAATAATGTCTCTTTGGGACGAATATAAAACAATCTCTTCCATAGTGCAGTCGTATGATGTTGTTCAAATGTGGTTTGGTTTTCTCTATCAAGATAATAACTGACTGTAGGAATGAATAATTGGTTGGATGCATACACAGGTGTGTGAAGACACTGTAATGGTACAAACCAAGCATACCATCTATTTTGTACGCGTCGGACGCCAGACAGAACATTATTTTTACAAAACACTAAGTTTTTTCCACCCAGTTGTTCTAGCAGACCAAGATATTGAACCTGATGTTCTTTTATGCTGCATTCTTTTTCGCTGTTTAAAGAAACAGACGGTATTTCGGGAATAAGGTATCCAACATGTCTACGAGAAGGTGGTCGAGAAGAACCCGGGACCGTATCGTCTGGTTTTTGGTCGTCAATGTCTAAACGCCAGATATGCACTGTGCTGTCTAGTGAACTTGAGGCAACCATAAAGACAAAGGGTGTGTTAGGATGAATTGAGGTAGGGTATTCTATGTCTTTAAAGCTTTCTACAGCTACTTGAGTGATATAGCCATTGTGGTCAGCTGTGAATGACTCAGTTTCTTCTTGTGTCTCGTTTCGTCCAACTAGGAACGAAGCATGCTCCGAAACGCTCGTTCTTCGAGACGATATATGATCACTGCCTTGTGACAATGTAAACAATGCATTACCAGTATCCATATTCCACACCTTTACACTACCATCACTTGCTCCTGACACCAAAATGCTAAATGAACTGCAACTTGATTTGGCTGCTGCTATACTAGTGACTGCATGATGATTGTCTCGATGGGTTATTATATATCGACAGGCCCAGTCAACCCGCGTTGAGTTGGAATCCTTAAATTTCATTCTCTCCCAACACTTTATCTGCCCATCGTTTGAGCCTGTAAAGAAGTATTGTTGACCATCTTTTATAAAGAGATGTGTAGCATGGGTAGCCTTGGTATGATTTGTATTAGTTGAGCTTATTATCTTACCATCAGAAATACTCCATTCGCAAAGAGTGTTATCCCTATGCAGTGCAAGCACAGAGTGATGCTTTGTGACATTGTCATGCTCGATATCTTCAACTTGAAGAAAGTCCATGTATATTACACGCTTTGGAGTAACTGCCGAGTGATACAAGTTAGCTTTGTCAATTTCCTCTGATTCGCTGTCCACTGTTAGTTCACATAAAAGATAGAGTGTTTTAACCTCCCACAAGCGTATGGTTCCATCGCCATACCCAGCTGCAACCCATCGATGTTCATCATCCACCTTGACACACATAGCAAGCGGGACCTGTCTTCTTTCGATAAAGTTCTTTTTGGAATGTCGATGACAAGCCGCCATTACATCCGTTTCATGGAGATGATAATACTCTGAATTAATCTGCTCTGCAACCCAATGACCTCCATTCAATTTGATCATCTTGTCTAGTCTTGCCATCCAAGCCTTTCGTTTGATGTCCCACAGATTGAGTTGCCCATCTTGTCCGGCGGATACAACCAACCGAGCGGTTGCGGAAAGAGAGTGCACATCAGCCGTGTGGCGGCCTTTGAGTGTCTTTACTGATATGTTTCGTAAACAGCTATCCATTTGCAGTTTACTGAACTGACGTTGCCAGGATATCGCACCCGTATGTACCCCGTCTTCGTTATAGTTCTCTTGGGTCATGGCCACTCTACGAATGAGCGAATCTTCTGCTGCAGCATTTACAGAGACAATTCCGGTGCTGACAATAACCTGCACAATGTAAGTGCATACGCGAATAAATGCCTGTTGAAGGGCTGGAAGTAACTTCTTTTCACGCAAAGAAGGCGACATCCAGGTGACGATTGATACAAGCATGAGCGATAGGACAAGGCTAGGTAAATTCACGCTAGCGATGCATAGTAAAAAAGATTGGAACGGATCAAGATATTCACTCTGGTGGACAACCGTCATGATAGATTGGAGCATCAGTGGGTATTTTTTCATATAATACTTGCTGACTTGAAGATATCTTTGCTCAATGGAAGAAGAATCGTTTGTTCCAAGAAAAATAATATCCGGTGGAGTGATCAAGAGCTGCTGGTTTTGATGTAAAGGGTCGATGCTTTTCCAGAATAGATTAGACATGGTCATGGTATCTCTATCGGGTATCATCATCTGCTCACTGAGAATTTGATATGTGTCGCTCATGTTGGGTTGTAAAATGTAGAGAATGAGAATGATGAGGCACAACTATATATATCGTTTAAAAACTCAGTCACTGTAACCGCGTTTTTTATATAGTTTTACCAAGAATGCATTTACAGCTCTTCTTGATCTAAACTTCATGCCGTAATTATCCTCTGTATACGCTGCAATTGCTTCACCTTGCTGATTTACCTTGCTTTCATGAGTACCTAGATCCGTAAGCTATGATAATTGTCATATTGGGCATATTTTTATTTGGTGTGTGTATTTTTATGACCTACTTCTGCTCTCCTTATATCAATTGAAAGTACGGCGAGAAACATGCTAAGACTGAAAACATAGGCTATAATCAATGTAACTGCAGAGAAAAGACAAAACAGACCAACATTGGACGAATCCATTTGGGATCCAATAAAAACCACAAATAGTTCTCCAAGAAGTGTGGTAGTCATGGATACACCCACTTTCTGTAGCCCTATCGGAAGGTTAATTACAGCAGCTATATTGTGTAAATTTGAATATTGGCTTACCTTTGCCTATTCTCTCCTGTCGATTCAAATCGTCCTTGATGGAGATGACTGAGCCGGTTAATATCATTGTATGTTCAAGTACTGATGTGGCGGATATGAGCATGTGTAAAAACCAAAGACTGCTGTCGATGTTGATATTTAAAAAGTAAAAGACGCCTCTGGTAGATGTGTAGCAGGCAAATGTCAGGAAAATAGCTGTTACTGCTAGTCCCGGCTTTGATTTAATAATGCTGACTTTCCCAAATTGATTTATCATCATTATATATATGCCAATAGCCAGTAAGGCAATCATGGGGAGCGCAGAGAGTGGAATCATACATGACATCCACTATACAACATGTTATAATGGTCAAGTATTTGAAACGGGGACTTACCTTGTATTGTACAACAAAATTTGGAAGGTTAAGGCCACGTCGTATGAATGAGTTGGATTGATTTGTTTTCTGCAGGACTGAATGTAGTAATTGATTCCAAATATCTAGTGCATGCTGCGTATCTTTCAAGATAAAAGTCAGAATTACTGAATCAAAATTCGATAAGCGCCCTCTAGAATCAAATGTCGCGTTTCCAAGGACTGAGAGTGGATGAAAGGATAATCCAGTGTAAGGAGATATCTTTTTTGCGCCAAGAGTATATGAAGCAGTTTGTTCCTCAAAGGGAGAATGAAATAGACAATGCTTGCTTGGATACGCTGTTGCACAAATATCTTGTAAGCTGTAGGTCTCTTTGTTTACCACTGTTGTAAAATCATTCAAATGGTTGTACAATGATTTAGAGTCAGGAAAGAGTTGTGTGTGGTTTTGATGATGTATTCTAATTTGTTTTACGATAAAGTTGCGCTGCACCTTGAGCGAATAGCTATCTGTTGTATAAATGTGTGGCGAAAACAGCCAAAGGTGTCCATCTACAAATACCCGTGGTGGAAAGGGTTGAATGGCCGGATAAGACAGCAAGAATATACAAAAGAGTGTCGAAAGTAGTATTGTCCAAGAGTAAGAGGCACATTTTACACCCCAAGGGCAAAAGTATGTCTTGGATAGATAGTCTTGAAAAGCTTGAAGGGCCAATAAAGGCATGAATATAGAGGTTTATTGCTGTAATAATATAAAGAAGAAAGAAAAAATGGGATATCTAATAATAATGACGTTTAGTTAATTTTTTGTAAGTGAAACACAATTGACAAAAATATTAAAAAGACAAGGGAGTTGTAATTGTAGTTGATAATATGTACAGTATAGTATCTTAGTCTCTTGCTCTTCCTGGTGTGGCTACAACTGCTTCATATCCAGGCAATGTCCCAGAGAAACTATATAGCCTATTTGACCTAATGGCTGTTGTATAAGAAGGTACTCTAGACAGATCAATACCTTCCCATGGATCGGTCATTTGAGTACTTGTTGGAGTCGAAGGACGAGTACTGGACTCTTCATCTTCAGTATCTGAAGAGCTAAGCGTGCTATTGGCTACTGTAGCAGCAGCATTCGGTGCATAAATTGCAATAGACGGTGGTAAATCCCCTCTTGCGATAAGATTAGCGACTTGCTGTGGATCATATGGTGCTGACCTCCAAGCATCCTCATAGGAAGGTAAGGCGTTCTCATCTTCTGGAGAAACTTCTGCGATCACGATTGGAATGGCTGCTCTAAGTTCTATATATATATTAGTGTCTCTGTCCATGTTTGTGGCAAAATTCATGTACCTGATATATGGCCATCTGCGTTTTCTAGTGATACTGTAAATTTCAACTTGTGCTTAATCTTTAAGAGATCACAAATTGAATCCGTCTGTATTTGATGTGATTGAACGTTGGGCACTGGTAGTAGCTCTGTCTTTGTCCATGCATCTGGTCCTGATGAAAAGCTCTCGTCTCTCAAATGTTTAACTACTTTTCCTTCCATCTTTGAATGATCAGCACATGTTAGCGTGATATATTCCTTTAATACGCAAGAGACAGATCGAACTTGTAAATCAGGCGCAATAGGCAATAAAGCAAATGTAATTGGTATAGTGCTTCCCATAGTGAATACTTTGCTTGGTACGCTGATATCATAGCTTAATTTATCCACCCAAGTATTGGAGATCACCATAGGCTGTGTCAATTCGAGGGAGGAGGAGAGGAGCATACGAGAGACGCGTATTGATTTTCGATCCGTATAGTTTATAGAGAAAGTAGGTCGCTCGACGACTGCCTTTAGACGATAGTATACTTGACCTAATTCATGATCTACGGTCTCCGGTAGATCACCGGGTAAAGGAATTTCAAAGTCCCTGTCAATGTTATTTTTTTTTATAATGCGCCAATATGCAAACGAAAACTTACCATTTATAATGTCCTTCGGGTAAATGATATGTTTTACGTTTAAGCGGTAAGAAACTCCATTCATGCTTGATGATCGTCTTTTCGTCTTTATAATGTTTTTGATGGGATCCAAGTCCTTTTTTTTTACAATAAGAAAAAGAGTATATAAATAGTCTTTTAATTGTTTAAACCTTCAGTCCAGTTGACTTTTGCTTTCCCGATAAACTTTAAGGAAACAGACTTGACCTTGGTTGTTTCTTGACAGTTTAATATGACTGAGCCTCTTAATATGACACCAGCTGATTCTTCTACACTGCCATGTAGAATTATGTGATCCGTTTCCAAGGTGATGTGAAAGTCGGGATTATGTACAAGTTGCATCGGGCTTATTATAAAAAGAAAGAATAAAAAAAAAAAGTTTTTTTTTAGGCGTGAACAATACAAATTTCATTGGACAAAGTTACCTTAAATGAATGGTATTTGTAGTTGAATGAAAAGGTATAAACTTTACAAAGTCAGGTGAAGATGAAAGGATGTGCATGGTAATAAGTAAAGAAAAGAGAAAGACAAAATTGTTTGTTTTTTTATACACATGTGCTTTTAAAGAGTCTAGAAAATCAAATGGATAAACTAAATGTTTTTTGATTTCGTGATCTCCGGGTTGACTAAGCAGATGTTGTTTTTGAGGGATAAATTATTTCCCTTCCCTTTTTTTTCCCTTTGAATTAGATCCGACTCAATATTTGATGCTTGTACATAGAAAATGACATTTATGAGAAAAGTTTGTAGTAAATGTTTATTTACAAAATGAAATTAATATGCATAGCTGCAACTTTATTTCTTGCGAGGCTTCCATTCATCATCTTTCATTGCATGAAGCATAATCCTGTTGACTAACCCTTCAGTTGGATAAAGCTTATGACCCTATATTATTAGCACTTTAGTTCTAATATCTATCCTTCATCTTGTTATACATTACCTTTGTCCAATCATAACTTATGCCATATGCAAAAATAGTTCCGTTTCTATTATATGTACCACATGCGATCGTGTTGTTTTGTCTTGGTAATGAGCTTAATCTCTGCTTACTGTCCTTGTCCCAGAAAGTGACTGTTCCATCTGCACCTGTAGTAGCAAAGGTACCTGATACTGGATGAAATGTTATCGAATTGACCGAATATACATTCTTTGTTTCATCACGGTGACATTTGAATGAAAAGTTTTTACTATATACAGGTTTAATCACATGAACTTGTCCAAGATGGAATACCTACGCGCTCTCAGCCTCATCAATGTATTGAATACCTAAACGACCCTCAATTGAACCAATCGCATACCCTTTGCCATCAATAAAACATGACACAGCGCGTGATTGCCATTTAAGAGGTGATATTGTCTTTTTGTATATAGTCGTTGGATTACTCAGGTTGAATACAAGTACATGTCTATCAGCCGTAGCTGCAACCAATAAGCCGTTCTTGGTATCCATCGAATAAAGCCGTTCTGGTAGCTGTACTGTGCCAACAGGTGTAGGTGACCGCGTATCCCAGTATTTGATTGTCTTGTCCCAACTTCCAGTTGCTAGTATATTGGCCTGTCCGTCCAAAAACTTGACAGCTTTGATCGGCTCGTCATGGGCAGCTACTTGAGTACTTTGTCCAGTCACTATATTGTACATTCGAGCTGCCTTATCTGTTCCACCAGAGACAACTGCTGTTCCGTCCTGATGGATGGTTAATTTCTTTTATATGATCAAAAGAATCAGTTCTTACTTTACTCCAATCCACACACAACACGGGCCCCTCATGGTTGTAGGATGCTTTTGGTACAGTATTTCCTGTGGGTTGTACTTCATACAGTCTAACCTTTAATATGAGGTGAGTCGATGTGAAATGCTAATTCTATCTAGTGATGCCTACAGCACTATCCCAAGAAGCTGCAGCTAAAATATCCGCTTGAGGTGAGAAAGCGAGTGAAGATATACTGTCAGTTGGTGGAGAAACTACTTCGAAATCAGGTGCCTGCATCTATCAATATAATAATCTGGGTAAAGACAAGAATCAAAAAAAAAAAAATTGGCAAGTTAGGCTGTGTGTAACAACAGTCATTGACCCTGATCTGTAAGCCTGTTTATTACTAGCTGTTCATTGGCAAGCGGTTTCTTTGTTGTTGTTTATATATTAAAATGATAAAACAATGAATATCTCTTTTTCTTCTTCTGTTCAGTTAACTTTGCTGTTGCTTTTTATATAGGAAACGTGATCAAGCCTATATTCACTGGTTATAGTACCAAGGATAAGTTTGATTTTAAAAAAAAATAATTAAAGATACTGACTTATCCTCTCAGCATATAATTACACTTTGTCAAATCCCTTCTTCCTCAGTCAAGCTTAACAGCTACACTAAACACTTAAAAGAGAGAAGGGAAGTTTCTGAAGAGTTGTACAAACATTACAGCCAAGAGACCAAAATGAACCTTTCTTTAGTTGAAAAAAGAATCCCATTCAGAAAAATGAAGCTATCAAGCGCAATCAATAGAATGCAGTCTGACAAGCATTTGGCTAAAAATTTGAAAGAAATTTGGTAGACACGCAGTGTCGATTTTTGGTGATTGGTCAGCTTTAACGATGGAATACCATGAGCCCATCTGGTGCAAGGGCTTAAAAAGAATGATACAGAAAGAAGGTTTTCAAGTCCTGTTGATAGACAAGTACAAAACGTTAAACCTTTGCCCCGAGCGCAAGTTTTTTCCTCTGGAGAAATTCAAAAAATCAAGAATCCAAGACCATACAGAAGACAGATGATGCCCATGGCTAAATGCCATGGGCGATTAAGGCAGTACCCATCATTATAAAAAAAAAGACTGCTTGATTTTTAAATAGATGCAAAAACGCCAAATGTCTTGATGGAAAAGATTTTGGAATCGAGACCTTGCCGCTGTTTTAAACTTCAAGCATGTATTGATTTCTTTGAGAAACACAGGGTCACGTCCGGCAAGGTTCAAAAGAGTCTTGCCCAGGGTTAAAAGAAGTGCGTGTGTTCTGACGAACAATAGAAACAAAATAGGAAAGATCACTTCACAGGGTAAAATATCTGATTTTCCAATCTGCCTGTCTATTCACCATTTTGTGTAGCTGTCTGGTTTTAAATTAAACACGGTAGACACGAGTATTTGAACTACAGGGTTCACAAAGTACAACAAGGTTGCACGTTTAGATTTACTTATCAGTGATCGACGCATTTCTTTAAGTGATTATACATTTATTCTAAGCTAATAAAATACAAAATAGATAATTTCTTTTTTTTTTTACAAGGAAGTGTATTTTTGATTGTGAACTACTCTATCTTCTAATACTTGATCACCATTTGCCTTAAAGTTCCACTGATGTCCCTCTGTCCTATAACTCTTCCAGTCCTAAAAGTAAAATGTGAGCTTGACACTTGTAATGAATGAGATCCTCCCTTACCGAAAGACAAGAACCCCACATTTCATCAAAGTTTCCAACGTCTTCAGGGCACATGCATTTACCAAGTACGCCATCATCAACACAATGAGCAAAGTTATCATGCTTGTATCCGATATCATTAAAGAAATGAACTTGTGACTTGTTCAAGTATAAACCAGCGGCTAGGCTATGCACGATAGCATCACCCCATCTTTCATAAAAGAAGTTACCAGTACTGTCCAGGTAGTTAAAATAGTCTTCATATCTCTGATCTCTCCACAAGTTTAAGCTTGCGATTTCAAAATTTGACCAAAAATGACACAAGTTATAACCACCTTCTGGAGAACCAAAGAAACGGAGTAAGGTAGTATTTAACTCATGTTGATGAGCAAATTTGATAGTATGATCCCATAAAGTTGGTATAGTCTCTGGTATTTCCTTTAGAGTGATTGTAAATCCATATTCTTTTCCATTTTCCCTCATAAAAGTAAAGGGATCATAATCAAGGTCACAATAAAAGTGAACGCCAGGTTCAACACGCCTAAAAGAAATAAAAATGAGTCTAAATTAGTTTAAAAATAACAATAATTAGTTACCAATAATAATCGTATTGTTGTAAAAGGGGGTGCTTATAAAAGAAACCCGAGTTAAATCGACACATGTGTCTATAAGAAAGAGATCCACCATACATGATATTACGAGATGCATAGTCATAGAGTGAATTATACATCACAGTTTCATTAACATGGTTTGGTACAGACCACATCTCTTTGGGTACAAGTCCAAACTTTAATTCCGCATTTGTCAAGGCTGAAATACTTTGTTTAAATTCGTCTGTAAATGGCTCATCATTTAAGAAAACATAGGGATAATTATACTTTCGATTAAAGCGACTATAACATAAAAGTAAGAATAAAATAATAATAATAGACACACACTTACTCTTCAAATTCTCGAAGTGTTCTTCTCATAGGTCGTAGTTCATTATTTCTAACCAGGATGACAATGACTGCCTTTTCTCTTTTTACTTGCTCGGTTGTATTGAATGTAGGTTCAATAGGGGTGGTATTATCACTACTGTTTGGACAGTCTGGGTTATCGGATAAGGTTATTTGGACATCATTTGATGTTAATTCACTCTTGTCTTCTAATATTGAATTTACATAAGGAACAGTCGAGTTTGATGTTTTAGAAACAAAGTACAAAGAGCCAAAATATAAGGAACAAAATAATAAAAGGGTGATAATGTATGTGTATCCCCTCTTCATTTGTATGTACATTAAAGAAAAAGAAAAAGAAGAAAGAAAGAAAAGATACCGATTTGGTTTTAATCTTGGAGTATAAAAAAAAAGAAACTCAGTATATCATGTAAATCACTTTCTTTAAAGAGATCGCCGCTGACCTCATCTATAGCTTGGCACATGCATATTTAGCAGTACTAAAAATAACTCTATAATTCGCCTCAAAATTCATTTTTTCCTTTTTTAAACTCAATTTTTCAATTTAGGCTAACAACTGTACAGCCATCATTTTCTCGAAGCAGACCCGTATTTGGCGCAAAGTGATGGCTATAAAAAGGATACAGTCTTTTCAGAAAGTCGCAATTTTGCAGTTTTTATTATACAATTTATACGAAAAAGCGATAAGTTAGCACGACATATCTTTTTAGAAATAGCGTAATGCTTGAGGCACTGTAAAAGGGCACTGCAAAGTTCAAAAAATGTAATACTCCAAACTGCAAAACCATTTAAACACCACAATAAAACACTCAATTTCTGGACAACTATTGCCAATATATTGGGGCAAAGCTAGAGTATATAATGGCCTTTGTTTTATGATACAAGATATAGTACTATGAGTGAGTAATGTGATTCTACTAATTTGGTAGAAATTGTCCAAATGTTGTCACGTAAAAGAGGGACTATATAGATGTTATACGACCAAAAGTCAGTAAATTTTCTTGTCATCAATGCAAATATTATAAAGCCAATACGGAAGAGTGATCGAAAGATCAGATTTTTTAGTGATTATGAAAATAGAACTACTCTTACTACGGCTCTCTTATTTTAATCATATCCCCTAATCTATTTATTGCATCATGAAAAATATCCATTCATAAGCTAATAAAAGCACTCAAAATAAGCACTTTCAAGTTGGAATACAAAGCCTATACATGACTAATGCGCATATTCATAATCTAAACTATCTCACAATCATTTGCATTCTCTCTTAATAAGTTATACTCCTTGAATAACAATGTTATCATAAGAAACATGGGACACCACGATTTGATACCTTTCTAAATTGATTCACACAGAATGTTGAGCAAAAAAACTACAGAGATACCCTAAAGGGCACCTCTTTCCACATTACTAATCTTACTTCATTTGTCTTCGCACTTTAAGATAGACCAGGGCTTTTGTTGACCATGTACAACTTATGAAAATATGAGGAAAGTATATACAGGATCTTGATTAAATATTGTAACCTGAAAATAAGTACGACTCAAATAGCATTCATCAAATTAGGGGAAGAATGAAATCAACTGTCAATCAATAGCTAAAAAAATATACTCGATAAAACATTGATCCAAACACCAACATATAAACGATAGAAAAAAGAAAAACATTTCCTCTTGCTTGAATTCACAAGAGGGGAACGTTTTTACAACGATAAGAGCTTCCAGCAATATACTATATGACGATAACATGGTTATACAGTCTTTCCGGAAAGTAAATTCGCCTGTGATCGAAAATAAATGCACTCAATGGTGAGAACAAAATTCATGTTGTATGAAATGTAAATTCGCCGTTACCAAGAATATTTTCGTAGTGCCAGCCTTGACATCCATGGAGATACTGTATTTCCAAATTGAGATGTCGTATTGAAACCGTTGTAATGTTGTCAGAGTAATAACAAATACAAAAAGAATATGGCTCACTATCTCATTTGACAGTAATATTAACAGGTGGGCTGTCTTGGAGTTGAAATTAACTTAATATTAGAAATAGCCCTCTTTAGTCTCTTTGCAAAAGTTTAAATTCTTTATTAGGTTTTTCCACGAAACCAGAAGAACATGTAGTCATATTTGGCA